CCCCGGGTCCCCTTCCTGTGCCAAGCAAACCCCTGTCAGAACCAACCTGGACCCCACCCTTGGCCCTGGTTCTGCCAGATTCATTTCGGGCCAAGTGGAATCTATGAAGGAAGAGAAAGGGGGAGCTGAGAGGCTCCTAAGTCTGTAGTGCCCACTGGATGAGCCAATAAATGAAACTCTGCCACCTCCTCCATTCTGGCCTCTGTGTTTTTCTTGCCCCACCAAGCCAGTAAGTGGGAGGGGCCCCACCGAGAAGCAAGACCTGGCGGTGAGGGGTTGGAAAAGGGCTGGATGGAACACAGGAGTGCTCATTTAAGGGTCCTCACCCCAAAAAGTTGTTTTATGCCCCAGAATCCTTTCCCCAAGCTGCCAAATGTAAACTCTAAGGACAAGGACCCCAGTGAGGTGCCCAGGGGAGAGCTGGAGATGGGGCACAAAAGTCCAGAACTACTTGAGTGGGTTGAGGGAAGAGACAAGGTTTATGGACAAACCAGGTCTGAAGTTCTTGAATAGACAAATGAGCTGGGGCACCAAGTCCTGGGACCAGAGATGCTTAATGGGGAAGCAGAGAAGTTGGAGCCCTGACTACTGGAGGGCTCTAGGAGAGGAGTCTGGAGTAGGCTTGGCTGAGGAGGTGGCTCTGAAGGACCAGAACCCAAGAAGAGGGCTCTCAGATGGCAGAGGAGCTGAGGCAGCGGTAGAGAAGGCAAAGGAAGCAGAGATACATTCTCAGTCTGTGGAAGGAAATCATCATGGTGGGGGTGGGTGGAGCAGCAACCTAGATCTCCCCTCTGGCATCACAGGGCATATGTGCCTGCTGTACTTGAGCCAAACTTTCAGAATGTCGGGCAGTGGTGCCTCACACCTTTAGTTCCAGCACTCCAGAGGCAGAGGCAGGCGATCTCTGAGTTCGAGGCCAGCCTAGTGTACAGAGCAAGTTCGAGGACAGCCAAGACCACACAGAGAAACCCTGTCTTGAAAAAAATCAAAATAAATTTAAAAATAAATGAATAGTGTTGTCGAGATGGCTCAGAGGTTAAGAGCACTGGCTACTCTTCCAGAGGTCCTGAATTCAATTCCCAGCAACTACATGGTGGCTCACAACCATCTATAATGAGATCTTGTGCTCTCTTCTGGCCTGCAGGCATGCAAGCAAAATAGTATACATAATAAGTACATTTATTTAAAAATCAATAAATATGAGGGTCTTTTTGCCTGCTCCAGAACCCTCTAGTCAAGCCCTCTAAAGGCTTCCCTTTCACCACTGGCCCATCTAAGCTTTGTTTCTATTAGTTGAAAAGCAACGTGACCAAAACAAGTTGGAGAGGAAAGGGTTTATTTCAGCTGACAACTTTCAGGTCACACTGCATCACTGAGGAAAATCAGGGCAGGAACTCAAGGCAGGAGCCAAAGCAGAGGCCATGGAAGAACACTGCTTACTGACTTGCTCCTATGGGTTGTTCAGTCTGCATTTGTATACTACCCAAGACCACCTTCCCAGGAGCAGCACTGGCCGAAGGGAGCTGGGCTGTCCCACGTCTGTCATCAATTAAGAAAATACTCTACAGGCCAGGTAGTGGCGTCACACGCCTTTAATCCCAGATGACCCTGACCCATGTGGAGTTGACATAAAAACCAGCCAGCACAAAAGGAATTTGGCTTTAAAAAAAAAAAAATTGGAAAGGAGAGGAAGGTACCAGTCACAGAAGAGAAGATCCCCAAAAATAAAGTTAGTACCATGCTAGCACTTACCTACCATATAGCCAGGAAAACAGGTTAGGCATTCTATATAAATTTCATTTGCTACATGTCACACACACACAAACTACACACATGCACATGAACACAACACACACACACACACACACACACACACACACACACACAGCAGGAGACCACTGCCAGACTCTGCATGGCCAGACTCTTACATATACATCTGGGTTTTTTGTGTCAAAAAGGAGTATGTTCAGATTTCTGAGCTCCATGTTCTGTTGCCATGGAAACATTCAGGCTTCCAGAACTCTGGGCACAGGGCCTGCTTCCTGCAGTGCAGGAAAGGAGAGGAGAGATGGAGGGTGACCAAATAGTTGGAAAGTCTTTTAGGAGAAGGTTGGCTGGTGGGACACACTGGGTTTGGTGACTTCATGCTGTCCCCTCATTCCCTAGGTCCACCTGCCTCCTTTCTCAGATCTTCTCAGACTAGAGGAATATAAAAGTCATCTGTTAGAGCTAGGCGGGAGGGTACTAAATCACTCCCTGGGTCCTCAGCTGACTTTGAAGGGCTGGGGTCTAGTTCTATGTCACATGCCCAGGCTCCTGGCAACATTAGGCAACGCTCCAGGCCTATGTTCCAGACTATGATGGCCTCAGGCCTGAAGCTACTTTATCTGGCTTCTCCTTTTCTGTGGGTGTTCCAACCTCCCAAGAACCTGCTTAAAATGGGATTTCCAGGCCCTGACGTCAGAGGAAAGCCAGCAGCTCCCTCTAGCCTGTGCCAGCTCTACCGTGATTAGCAGAGCTAAGTGTAGCCTGCAAGAAAGCAATGCAAACAGGGGAGGGAGGAACTTGGGACCCTAAGCTGTGGTCCCTGTATCTGTGCATCCTGGATTGACAGAAACAAGCTGTTTCTGGGTCGGAAGACCCTGCTGGCTTCCCTGTTGACTTAAAATTCAGCTAGTGCGTGATCATTATCCTCCCAAATGCCACAGTTATTTCTTCTCGGTTCTAGGTCTTAAGACTGGCTTGAGCAGGAAAGCCGACATCTGAAGTCAGTCCCGGGAGCTGGACAGCGGCTTCCGTTTGGGTCTTACCCAAGCGTGGGCTGTGGGAGCTTGGCCTGCAAGGCATTGAAAGGTCCACTAGGTGGCGCAGCTCCCTCTCAGCGTGAGATTCCATCACTAAGCAGAGTACTATCTCTCCAATAGCTCAAGGCCTGGAGGGAGACCAGAGAGCCTCATACTCTTCTCCACCGGAGGGGAGACTAAAGGGGGAAAAAAAACCCTCTTTGAGGGTAGACAGGACAGCTGTGGGTTCTCCAGCAATCTCTGCCCGAACCCAGTCTGTGTGCACTCCCACCACTCAGAAGAGTAGGTGGACAGACAGAAAGAAAGCTTCTGGGAAGGATCCTCCCAACTCTGCCCCTCCCCTCTCCCGACCCTGAAATCCATTTCACTGGGTGTCTCTTAGATGCTAATTTGGGAGCCAGGAGAAGGGAGGAGCAGAATTGTGGGTTGTGGAGAAAGATTTCCACATATTTGTTGCACCCCTGGACGGGCCACAGTGGCATCTCAGGCCTGTTCCAGGCTTCCCTAATTCCTAGCCTTTTCCATTATTTTCATAAAGGATATTGTGGAGTTGGAAGAGAGGGCAACCCCTCCCGACAACTCCTAGAATCCTCAACTATTCTTGCAGGGTCTGCCAGGATAGATGCCTCCTTGGTGACCTAACTACCTTTCTCTGGCATCTTCCTCAAAATGACCCCAGGCAGCCCTGTATCCCAGGTGAGTTACCCTCTCCTTTTGTTCCAGCCAGATGAGTGATCAATAAATAATGTTGCCTGAAATATTGATGGAGAGTTTTACAGCAGCATCCCTTAGCTGTGCCTGGCAGGGGCATGACCCTCTAGACAGCCTTTCACATTGCCAACAAAAGGTTTCCACCCGATCTCATCTGAGCCAAAATCATGACTCAGTTTCAACAAGTAAGAGGAAGAAATGTGAGAGATTGACTCAAGCCAGCCTCCTGAGGGTGGTGGTTCGGCCACAACAAGCAGAGACCTTCCGGATCCTACTTCTGTCCCATGTCCACCCGGGTCTGCCAGGTCCACTCCGTGACCGGCCTCAGCAGAGGGTGCTTATGTGTGGGATGGTAGAGAACACCTCTAAACCAAGCCCTCAGGAAGGAGAGGCAGGAGAATATCTCCAAGTTCCAGGCTAGGCAGGACCACATAGGAGATCGTCACAACAGAACAAAACACCCAAACGAAATTAAAATGATCATGTTATCAGATGTGTCTGGCCAGGTCATGAACATCTGGTTTGTCCTCCGGCATGAAGGGTAAGAAGAGGGGGAAGGGAGGGAGATGGAAATAAAGGACGCTCTTGACCAACTCAGCCCCTCCCCCT